GATTTCTTGAAAAATTTAGATTCTGGAGCTTTAATTCTGTTGGAATTCACACCCAAAAAAATTGGATTGCAGCAAATGATAGGGTGAAATATGTACGAATTTCGGAAGTTAAGGGTAGAGCAACAAAATGACTATATACCTCTCTAACTAAATGGCCAAATTTCTAAATACCGGCACGATATGAACAGTGGACTATTATGGAATCGATTTCTTGAAACAGTTAGAGTTTTGGAGCCTGAGTAATGTTGGAATTCACACCAAAAAACATTAGAATGCAGCAAATGAGACAGGGTGAAATATGTACGAATTTCGGAAGATAAATAAGGGTAGACAACCAAAATGACTAAATACATGTACCTCTCTAACTAAATGGCAACATTTCTAAATAACTGCACAACATGAATTGCCAGTGGACTATTTAGGAATTGATATCTTGAAAAAGTTAGATTTTTGTGTGGGAGGGGCGCTATATGGTGGGGGTGCGCATGAACAGGCACACCAGAACACCCTGGGCTCGGATCAGTGTTGGTGTTATTTCTATTTAAATTTCAGCTGTAGACAGGCCAACAGCGGAGGCGACAGCAAACATGAGGAATTTAAAGAAAAAGAAATACAACTTGAGGTAATTGTTCCTTATAGGTGAATGGCAGGAATTATACATGTATCTGAATGTATTGAAATGGCACAGTTTGACCCTAAAATGATAAAATCGGAAATGTCTGGAACAACAGTTTATCTAGTCATCCTCCAAATTGATTAATTGCAAAGAAAATTAAATTCACACGGTGGACTTCCTCCTGATGGAAATAACAAAGAGTTCACCCTGTTGTCAATATCCAATCCTAAAATTACATGTACATTGGACTAAAGACTATAAATCACTATCCTCAAGTACTGGGAAGATTACTCTCTAATTACTGTGTACCTTAGAGATAGAATCTAATATAATTGAAGTCCATGCATTCCAAATAATTACACAATTAAAGCAATAATCACCTTCAATAATCAAAGGATTTACATGACATTACATTTGCATTCACTTAATCCTCAAGTACATGTGCAAGTGCCAGTCTTATTAATTTACATGTCACAATTTGCCCAACATGTGCTTGTACATGTACATGCAAGTAATGTACACTTATGCGAAACGGTAACTTCCTTCAATTAAATGATCTAAACTTCATAACCCCAGATAATCACTCCACCATAGATCCTACTCATAGTTTTGATCTCGGCACCATGGACGTCAATACAGATAGATTTATATACATGTATATGCAAACCAGACTTGTCTGAGCACACTGCTATGAGGCCGCCATTATTTTACCGCCCGAGAGTAACAAAACCATTTGCCCAATTTACCCATAAAATAATGCATTTATATCCTTCCCACAATGTCTAACAATTTCTCCACTCCCCTGGAAACCCATTCGATGATTTACATGAAATTTACAAGCCCAAGAAAAGTTAAATTTACCTATTTAAATTTCAGCAGTAGACAATGAGGCCAACAGCGGAGGTGACGGCAAACATGAGGAATGCCCCTGCCACCGCATGATGGGCTGTTGCTACACACCGGCATTCTCGCAATTACATGTACGATATGCATGACATCCCTCACATTTGGAGCTTTAATTATATTGGAATCTAGGCCTAGACTTCAAAACATCGAAATGCAGCAAATGAGATGGGGGGAATACGTAGGCCTACCAATTTCCAAAGTTAAGAGTAGAGTAACAAAATGACTAAATACCTCTCTACCTAAATGGCCAAATTTCTAAGTAATGCACCCCGTCTGTATAGACAAAACCATGCCCTTTTCTCGGCTCTCCGGCCCAACAGAACACTGAATTTTGCTGATTGGCAGCCTCATTTGCATAATTTGAGGAGCCGGCTTGTACCATATCTAGTAGTAGTGGTAAATGTTTCCTTTTAATTTACCAAATCAACAAACTATCCTCCGCCGGCTCCAGTTTTTTAGACTATTCATCCACGATAAAATTGGTCATCCGGCCTCAAAGGCTGGAGATTTGTTGGACAAACTGTCACGTTTCAAATTTACAAAACAAATGTACACAGGCCCCTAGGCCTATTCATTTATTACTATAAAGTGTCAGGGCTGTGTACTGTTTCCATATTGTATTGAGTAGTATTACGACTAGTTGTGTCAGATCTCCGATGTTGCGTGTAACAATCCAGAAAACTGTCTCACAGGAGTGTTTCTCATCTCTCCATTACTGCTACAACTAAAGCAACCAAAGGAACTCCGATAAAATCCCAGGCCACATGCCTAAATATACCAGGCACACACTAGACTATTGTTACCTAACACATCCCCATAGAAGTCTGTAAAAAATTCCTGAGATTCCAATCAAATAATGACCAACACAAAGGCGGGGGGTTCTCTCCGTCCCATATCTTGCTTCAAATGTGCCTGAACGCTTGTGGGGCCGCCATTTTTAGTGTGCACTTTACCACAGCAAAAAAAAAGTGTAAAACTTAGTAAACCAACAAAGCCAACTTGAAATAACCTACACTGAAGCCCACACTACTGGGGTTTATCATACGAAAATCTTATTATCTTCTTGGCTGTCATTTCTCTATTTATTTTCGATTGTTGGATGGTAAGCCAATGACATTTCTCACCTTTGAACTCATCTCCTCTAAAGTCACATTCAAACAATCCCGGCAACGTGCAGTGGCCAAACATTTGTTCTCACACGTTCTTTCCTTGCCATGCCATGTGCCAGCGCCACTGCTGCAATCATATGCAGCAAGGTATGAGACGGAGAGAACTCCCTCTGCTTTGTGTTGGTCATTGTCTCGCAGGAATCTGGGGAATTCCTTTCAGACATCTTGGGGGATGTGTTAAGTAACAATAGTCTCGAATTTGTATAGGGATTGGGCATGTTGGGGCGGTACCCTTCTCTCCGTCTCATACCTTGCTGCATATGTTCAAATATCAGTGCGCACAGAAACGAACTACGCAGAGCGCAAGTATTATTTTTCGAAACGTAAATCAAAATAATGATTTCCATTGGAAAGAAAAAACTACCGCCCAAAATATTTTATGTCAAGTGGCATCAATCTAAAAAACCATAAATTTTCTCCACAAAATATTGGAAAAAGTTACTTACGATACTTGAATTTCATGCATTTTGTTTATAGTCTTGACAATTGGGACTGCATGCATTCAAGTTTGGAGCAAAAAGATGGGCAAATAAAGAGTTGTACTAACGAGAGGGGCATCGATGTACATGTACACTCATCATGCAATTGAAGGTGTTTGCATTGGGTCACACTCAATGTCTCAAATTAAATACACGCTCGAAGATAATCAGAAAATACGCACAATGTCGGACGGATCGGAATAGCGCCGCCTGGCGCTCTGACGCAGGTAAGCGTTTTGAGCTTTATTGGGGGAGGGGGAGGGGTGACATTCAAGACAATGGCTGAGTTAGAACTACGTACCGATGATATTATCATCAGTTATAGTGTTTTTACAAACTCAAAGGTTGGCTTTAAGAACACTTACAATGTAATTTGTACTACTTAAGATGGAAGGGGACCATACTAAGACACGGCGATCTCGTGCGCACCGTGAGGAAAAATTACCCTTATAAAGTCTTTTTACAGAGCACTAAATATTCCACTTACATTAGAAACTAAGAGCAAACACGATTTAATGGGATTTTCTGAAGAAAAAAATGAACAAAACCAAAAAACCTTAGAGAAAATGATCAACAAAGTCGCACCGCTGAACTTTTTCAGTGGCCAGCTCACACTTCTTGCTGCCAAGGCTATTTGTGCGCATGCGTGAATAATTATGAATTTATTAGTGAAAAGATGTATTGGGTGACAGTCGTTCTCACGTCGCGACAGTGTGTACGTTCAAAACGAAGAACAATCAACGCTGTTTCCAAAGCGAAATACGGTTGTGCGCGTGAGCGACATTTTCTTCGTGGAGCTAGCCTGCCCTAGTGATGGACTGGACGACTAAAATGTTTATTAAAGAAGAAGAGTTGTTTGGCCAAAAAGTGCATAAAAATAGGAGAAGGTACATGAACATTCAGAGGTATTGCTCTGTTTGCGTTTGATGTGGCAGTGGGCCAACAACAGATGCCGGAGGAGTGGTCGCCACCACGTAACAAAAGGACTAGGATGAGAGTAGACGGAGGGGCAACCGCATAAAAAGTGGGGTGGCCGACAGTTATAGACAAGTTCATCGTGTAAAAGAAGAGTATGGTGGACAGAAAACAAAATTTATGTGGGCCACTGTCTAGAAATTAAAAAGGACAGTTGGAAGACGGAGGTAGGCTACCGAATAGGAGCTAGTACGACTAACAGTCGAAGGCGTAAATCCCGGCAATGGGGTACATATCCCCAACTTTTGAGGGGTGGGCTTTTCGATCCTCCAATATTTTGTGGTGAGCACAAATTGAAGCGGATCGTGCAGAAGTTTTGCACTTTCCAACGACTGAAATGATTTCCATATTATTTTAAAGGGGCGCTTTTTTAAAAGCCATACATTTTTATTTTTATGTAAGATTTGGTATGATGCAAAACATACCATACATGTACACATCATGAACGTCGCCTCCTGTAAAGTATAAATAGTGTCCCCCCCCCAGCTTGTCCGATTTCTATGACCGGTTAGTCACAGTGTAGAAAGAGTAGCGGTCCGACAGTAGACGTAGGGGGCCATAGTCTAGAAACAGCAACGGTCCGACAGTAGACGCAGGCTGGGCCATATATCTAGAAACAGCAGTGGTCCCGACAACAGACGCAGGGGGCCACGGTGTAGAAAGGGGAGCTGGCCAATTATAATCGACAGGGGGGTCCACCGTACGTGTAAAGGAGAAGTGGGCAGACAGTAGGCGAGGGCCTCCATGTAGATGGGAAGCAGACCTAAGCAATAGGCAGCGTTACCACTGTACTCAGTCCTGAGTGCGCGCCAGCCTAGACTAGATTATATTGTTACAAATGACGTTCTTCAGCTGTATGTGCTTCATATCTACGTAGATTTATTTTTTTAATTCTTAAAATTGAGATTATGAAATTTCAAGTAGACCACTCTTGCATTGTTATTTCACTAAGGTCTTCTAATCATCAGAGACTCCTGCGGTGGTACTTTTCACGGAGGAAGGCAAACATGCACCATTTCAACTACCAGATTATTCGCAAACTTCATTACATGTAATGAAGATTACATCTGTGAACCTTAAAAATTCGATTATCGTTAACAATTTTTCAACCTTAACCAGAATACTTCTGAATCTATTTTTAAGAAACTGACACATCCACTTCTTGAAAAAATCTACTTACGTAGATACATGTACAAGATACATCCAAGCATGGACGTCGTATAAAAGGTTTGGATCGGCAATGTTTTATAATCAGCCCACACAGGTCATTGAAGCCATGGGCGGCCATCGATATCTTATTGTGCCGATTTCAAAGATGATACGACAGATTGCTCGCCCAAGTTAACCGGGTTGTAAATGGCAGGTGAGCCACTGATAACCTTGGTATTGGGTAAATTAAAATGGAAGCCAGTGTCTTTAGTCGATACAGTATTGCTTGTCCACACGTTCATGCATATAAGTAGTATTCTATTGACGAAACCCAAGATCGTGCGTAGGCAACGATCTGGTTTTTCCATTACGATCAATTTTTTCACAGCTTCTAAGATTTTTTATTACTGTTAATTAGTTTAATTAGCTATTTCATATTATCCACTATTATAAACTAAAACGAAAGAAGGGTCTGAAAAAACCCATAATTGTTCAGGGTATTTCTATAGTATAGGCCTGCTTTCGTTTGTTGGTTGGATTTCGACTGCGAAATTGGAATAATTGCTTCAGATTCCACTTCATTAAAATTGAACAGTAGGTGTACTGTTGAAATTAGGTCAATTACCCAGAATTGCACGATTGAAATAAATAATTTACATTTTATCATGAGAAATATGTTTACCATGTTTTCAGTTTCACTGCGGTTTCGAAAACGGTTACACTCGTTGAGCAGTACTGGTTATTAATTGCCAGTACAGCACTTACGTAATCAATCAAATGTTAAAAATTACGATAAGATGTCAGAGGTTGAGGCAGATGCGCACCTAAGAAAGAGTTTGGAAGAATTCAGGTTTCTCGTGTCCCTCGTTCAGGCAAGTGATTGGGATGAAGGGATGCTTAGTGTCTTGAAGATATTTCTGTAAAATGCAAAAAAAATCTTTCAACAACTCAATCAGAATCTAATACAAAAAGTTGTACACTTTGAGGTCAAACAAGACGAATTTCTAAATGGATAAATATATCCTTTATAATGATCTCTAAATTTTTAATGAATCAAAAACTTACGTGGGCATAAGAGAAAGCATTCCGTCTCTCAGCTGAGTCCGCACCCTTACCCACCCAGACATAAAGTTCTCTTTTGTTGTCCACGATGAAGACATCCTGGCAAGAAATTGAAGGTAAAAAAAAGCGAACAACCTGTGATTTTGGTCAAAACAACTTACAACCTTGGTCAAAACTTGAAATTGCAAAAGCCCATGCAGGATAAACAATGGTATATCCAGCACTCATATAGAGGCAAAGTTTGCTCCTGGTGACCAGCGGCGTAACTACCTGCATGATTACCCCCCCCGTGCAGCATCCTAAAGTTAAAATTTGCCCTTAAATTCAGCTGAAGCTTATTTTCTTGTGGTGCCCCCTTGAAAAAATGCGTGCAATCTAGTTTCCCCCGACATTTATCCCTATTTAAACCATTGCTGGAGACAAAATTATGATGTCATTCAGTGAGGAACTGCAGGCTCGTCAACACTTTGAAAGTGGCACTGGAATCTTCCTTTTTTCGAAGTGGAACAAAATGGACAGTTATTAAAAAAACACCCCGTGTCCCCCAACACACATAACAACCCTTATTGTTCAGTGATTGTGTATGGAATTCATTGTAAGGAATTGTCAATTTAATGGATATTCTCGTACACAATGTATTAAACAAAAACTAGAAAACAAGCCAATTTGGGGCTTTAATAACAGTTCGATACGTAAATCTGGAGATTTAATGAAATACTTGAATAGACACTGATGTCACTGCTGCTTTGTTTTTTTTTTCATGAAGTTTGCTACCCAACGGTTGCCATTGGCTATACGATTCGTTGGCTTAGCGGGTTACTGGGACCTTTGGGTTTCTCAAGTTTTATTTCATAAAATGCCAAGACACATCCAGGTAATTCCCCAACACGGAAAAATTTGCAAAGAAATATGGTCCGGGCTTACCCCCCCCGGTGCATTTTTCCCATTTTTAAAAAGTTGTAATATTCAGACTATATGTATTCCCTTTCTTCACAAACGCGTGAAACACCTTCAGAAAGAGCGTAAAGAAAGAGAAATCGCATAAATATCCAAACTTTTTGGCCTCCGGCCCCAAAACCTCGGGTCCCTCAAAATTATAGTTCTTCATCCACCCTTGGTTACATGACTCAGCAACTCTCTAAACTTACATTAGAATCCAGCTTGGACTTAGGCAGACTTCCTTCTGCCTCCTTGGTGAAGTAAAGCTTGTCAGTGTTTTTCAATCTGTAACAAAGACACAAAAAAATAGAATGGCTCGACTTATGGAGCGCAAAGTGCATGTTTGTCACGAACGATGCTAATAAATTGAAATAAAATTTTATATATAAAGCTTATAGAAAATAATTACGTTTTATATCAAATACATGAATAAATATAATTAAATGAAGTTTGAAGTGCATTCTATTGTTTACAAAATTTCCAGTTTTAGAAAATGCAATATTTCACTACATTTTTACCGTGGACGCGTGTCGATATTCCTGCTGTAATTTTACCGAATTCGCCAAAACTGTGAGGTCACAATATCCTCGTAGGCTAGGCAGTCAGAATATGAAACTCGTTTATAAGAAAACCAAATAGCTAGTAAAAAGGCAGTACATTTTTTCCCATTTGCAAGACTGAAGCTATTTACTGCAAGACTTTTTTATCCCTTGTTCTCAATTGGAGTCGAATAGTTTATTCACATTCGTACACACCTAAAGAGGGCTGGCTGGGAGTCATCCACACCAACCGCAGCATCCTCTTCGTCTAATGGGTCATCAGAGAGGGCCTTCATAAACTGGTGATCGGGACCAACGCGGTCCGAGTCCAGCACCTGACTGGAGGCCTTCCCGCGAATTCCTTTCAGTTTGGAGATGTACTGCATAGCCTGGAATTTAATATTTGGAAGTGTAGGGCTACCGATTACCGAAAGATGACTCTTATAGATTTTACCAGCACTCAACGAAAGAGATTTACAGAATGTTTTAAAACTTTGGATGCATGTGTTTTGTTTTTCAGCTGGCAGTTCCAAAAAGGAGCAGCATTGGTTATAGAGTCCGTGAGGTACATCTTCTCAGATCCACATTTTGAGAATTTCATTCTCTTTTCCTATGTATGAAAACTGTTTGGAATCCTTTAGGAGTTCAGAGTAATTAAAAAGAAAATTTTCAAAAGCATTTAAATTGTCTCAGCTTTTCTGGACGACTAAGGGTGCTGAACTGTTGCTGTGATGTAATCTAGAGAAGACACTCTTCGATTTCCATTTTGTCCTGTTCAACTTTTGAAGATGTGAAATGATGTGCTCATTTCAAAAAATTCTGAGAAAAGTTTGCACATTGGGTTCCTAATGTACACTTCCATAACAATAATTTATCAAAGAAAAGGAAAATTAAAGAACATATCAAAACTTTCAAGAGCTGTCTGTGCACAAATTGATGCAACGATGAGGCTCCATCCCTATGATAACACAAGGGAGCTCACTGACCACCTAGCCTCAAACCATGATATATTTGTTACATGTTACATCCTTGTCAGCTTGTGCGCACTCCATCTGTTGTTTGATACTGATCCTTGCTACCGCTTTGCCTGCAGTATCAATTGCAGAAAACTACACATAACGTAGGCTACTACTAGCATTGCTAATGTTGATTCTATCATGCGGCGGTTATTGGTGCTGTGGTTGCTGCTGTTAAAATAGTTTTCCTTTTTTATTACCTTAGTTCTCTCGTCCTTGTTAGAAGTCTCGCCATTCCATTGGAAGATCTTCAATCCCAGATCCAATATGAAGACGTCACTTGAGTCCAAACAATGCTTGTTGAGAGGTTTCTGCGAGAAAGACACAAGAATAGGCATATGCACATGTCTTTCTGTATATTCTGAAATAAATGGTATCAGAAAAATACTGTTTTATGTAATGAATAGAATGCGCCCAAACCTCTCTGAGTGTGACATTCTTTTTGTCACCCTTGAACTGCAGCAGACGTGCGGTATACTCCTTGGGTCCCACATGACGGAATCCAGAAGCGGCACCACCCTCCATCTTACTGTGAACAAAATAAGTGCAAGATGCCCAATAGGTCTACAAAATAAATAACTCATCCCTAGGAAAAGAGGAATTTATATATGGAAGATTACATCATGCCACTGATGAAAACCTCAGTATCTCAGCCACTATGACAAGAACGTGTTTACCACATAGGTGTAGGCCTACAGTGAGCGTCTGTTTTTACTTTAAATCAAAATACTGGGAGTGTATGCAACACGCCTGTATTCTTTCATCGTTGATGGTACGTGATGAAATAGGCAAACTGTACTGCACTTTTGAGCGGCTTTTTTCATACACACAAGCATTTATCTGATGATGATGTTGAACGTTTACATTCCTATCGCTAAGCTTCAATTTTATATCCATACTGGGGGGAGATGGTCTTTAAACATTTAAACCTACATAAAACAAGCTTGCAATTCTTTCTTACGTTATTGCCGGAAAGTAACTTTTGAACAAGTCCGATTCGTGATCCATGACCTCGCGGTGCTGCACTGGCTTATCGTCCAGAAGATGGTCTAATTCCACCGTTTTGTAAGCTGCAGTACCATACTCATCCTGGCAAAACAATGAAGACTAGGGCTTACAAAATTCCAAGAAAATGCTTTAAAAAATGGAACGCAACAACGTAACAATTGAAACCCACGGATCCAATTTGGTGTCTAGACAACGTCGCAAGTGTGTCTGCATATTACCTGTGTGGAGTACTCCCCTATCCAGAAATGAACGTCGTAGAGCAATTCCTCAGATTTCGATTCGGGGTTTTTCTGCAAGAAAAGAATTAAGCATTGCCTAATGACTGATTATCTACAATGACCCCAGGGGACTCTATTTAACATTTAGCATTTTGTATAATGCAATTATATATAACAGGTTTGCCCTTACCCAACGTATATTAATAAGCACTGTAATTTTCAAGATGTATTTTTTTAAGGGCAAACCTGTTATATATAA